ACAGATATTTTAGAAAAATGTTGAAGAAAAAATTTTTGTATTTTAAAATAGACATCAACCAAAGTAGTCTTTAGTGCGGTAAAGTCGGTCTTCTTGTGGCCACATTTTCCTGCAATTTTTCTTTTTTTTATTGCTCACTTTACTACAGTTCCGGTGACCATTCTCCTTAGGAACGGCATATTCATGAGTGTTGTCTGCAGTATTGTTGAAAGAATTGGGCAAGTTTAGGGCGGTGAAAATCGCTATATTAGTTTAGTTTTCTGTAGGTAGTGGGTCCTGAAAGAATCCAGCAAAATGATTGTTTCCTCTGTCTTTGGTTAGCTTTCTTTCTTGGCAATAGTAAGTTGAAAGCAGGTGAAGGTTTTGTGGTCGAACTTTACTGATCGGTTCCATCAACGATGGGGTCAGCGAAAAAGTGGTTGAGTTGAAGACAATGGAGATGCTGATGGTTGCTTCAAAAGTCTAATAGATGCAGTGTTTATTTGGAGTTTTGAATAATTTTTATTTACACCTCATTTATTAGCTCTAATTTTTTTTTGCAGGATAACAGTTGTTGTAGTTGTATTAGTGCTTGTGGTGGTGCTTAGAAGTTGGTCAAGCTTTTAACACCTTCTAACTTGTATAATGTTCGCTTGTTTGGTGTTATATTTTTAGAGTTGATTACTTTTAATCATAAAACTATTTTTTTTTTAAATAGTATTCTTAAACAGGCCAGTTGAATAAGTCACTAATGACTTCATGCGCTGGCGTTTGTTATTGTGGCTGTGATCTAATATCATCAGATGGATACTTGTATAACGCATACGGTTCTTATGGTCTCTAAGCCGTGTTTTAGGACCATTTTTTTTTGAAGTTTTAGGAGTTCTTTATATGTTATAATTGCTTGTATAATTGGTTTATTCACTTGTATAATCCGTCGTTTAACACTGTTGTTCCTTCATTTTTTTTTTATTTGTTCTGCATCATTTGTTGTTTCAAATACTGCTGTTAGAAACGATGCATACTGAGATTTTGTCATTTTCAGATGGGTCTTGTAACAAAATTGGCAGAGACATTTAATGCAAATGAAGACGCTCTCAGACTTCTGTTGACTATTCTGGCAGGTTAATATTCACTTTGTTTAATTTTTACTTTCCTGTAACTTTTACTGCTTGGAGATTTCTGTTTTTATTTCTAAAGGCGTGACATATTTCCTTTTAGATATATAGGAAGAAGTATAATCGATTCTGTGCATTATAATTTGTTTATTTTTAGGTTATCCCTTAGCGGTTTTTTATCGGTTTTTCATCTACAATAAATCTCCAATAGCTCAAAAAGTTTTTTTTGTCATAGTTGGAATATCACTTTACTTCTTCAATTGCGGTGAGAATATGTTATATCTAACCAGATTTTTGCTTGAAAAAAAAAAATTATTTTTGCTATTTTTTGCAGTGATAATTGCATTTTAGGTTTAAATTCTTGTCATGCTGGGATTAGCATAGTGTTTGCTTATTTAATAACGAACTACCTTCCTGGAACAACTGCCTCGATTGTACTGGCTTACTTCGTATTTCTCGTAAGGCTTTTCATATTCCTAATAATTTTCATTTGTGGCTATTTCTTCGCTTGCCAAGCAAATTTCTTTCTCTTTATGTGGGGCAGCAAGGGAGGTTTTTTTTTTTTGGTTACAGGGCCATTTGCTTTTGGGTTACTGGTTTGCGGAATCAGATCATTATGATATAACTTGGACAACACCATTCTGTATTATGACTTTGCGGTTTATCGCTTTAGTGATGGATGTTTATGACGGCCAGAAGCCAGAGGTAACGTTGAGTTGTATTAAAAGAAAGTTGTTATTTTACGCTAAGTCTTAGTTTTTGACACTAAAGTTCTTTTTGTTGTTGGAAAAATTTATATTTTTTTGGTACTTTAGGAGCAATTAAAACCAGATCAAAGAATTACACGTGTAGTTAATCCGCCCGATCTTCTAGAAACTGCAGCGTATGGGTTGTGCTTTTGTGGAACATTTGTTGGTCCGCAGTTTCCACTTAGGCGGTTTCGGGATTTTATTAATGGCGAATACCTAAACGAAAAGAAGGAAGTTCGTAGTACAGGGTTTGATATTTTATTTTTTAATTTCCGCTTTGGATGGATACATCTAAAAGTATTTCACTTATTCATTTATTGCATGACAAGTTGAGGGAAAGCTAAGTCGTCACAGCACTTATGAAAAACAAGATGGAAAACTTTTGTGCTTCTTATGTGGCTTGTTTACGACTGTTAAATGATTATTAATTTTGTTTTTAGACTTATGCCAAGTCTTGGTCGTTATGTTGCAGCAACATTCTTTGCAGTCATTCATCAGTGGGGAAACTTGTGGATTCCTGGCTCTTATTTCAGTACTTCACATTTTCTTGTGTGCTATTTATTTATTAATAACTTTTAAGTAGACTTGCACATACTGTGTGATTTTTGCTCTTTAGTTTGGAGATTTATTGGGTTACTAAGCATCTTATTTTTTTAATCTAAGCTTCATTTCCTTGAAATGTGCTAAAGGCTGTTTAGCCACTAATTACTTTGTCTGAGACGTTCAGGAACAAGTGTTGTCAGTCAGAAGGTTGTTAGTAGCGGCATGTAGAATTCGTATGAGAGGATGTTTTTTAGACTTAGATTTGAGAACTGTACTTCCTGTTTTTAATATTGTAAGTTTTAGCAACAGCCATATATCTGGAAGCTGATTTGGTGCGTGATTTGGTTTAGACTGATAATGGCAAGATATGTTTCTTGTTGGTTATATACGGTCAGTTTTTACTCACTTTTTTCTGCTCATCTCTGTTATGAGAGTTTACAAATTTAACTTTTTACTGCTCGCTTTTTTCAGGAGGGAGCTGCTATTTTAATGGGTATTGCTTATAATGGTAAGGATAAAAAGGGCGTAGACCAGTGGGATGGTGTTCGTGACGTACATATATTACGTTACGAGTTGGGCACTGATTTCCAGAGTGTTATTGATAGCTTTAATGTGGGTACTAATAGGTTTGCAAAAAAGTAGGTTTGTCATTGTTTCATTGCAGAGCTCAGTGAATATTTTTAGCATAATTTCTGGAGGAAAAATTAGGCAAGATCAATAATAAATTTTATGTGGAAGCCTGAGCATAATTATATTTTTTTTAAAAGAAGTCAATTTTTTTAGTTACGTGTTTCGACGTTTACGTTGGCTTGGCAGTAGGACTCGAAGTCATTTAGTAACGTTGTTTTTCTTAGCTTTGTGGCACGGTTATCACCTGGGTTACTTCGTTCTGTTTTTATTTGAATTCGCGTGTGTTGTTGCTCAAAACAATGTAAGTTAGAATTTGGGCCAACTAAACGTGTTGTAGTTATTGTTGCTTAAAGAATTATTTTTTGATTTCTTGTCGTGATATCAATTCTTTATTACCTTTAGTTCTACGAGATTTTGAACAGAATACCTGGAGCTCCTGCTCTACTTGCTCAGCCTTGGATGTACCCTTTGAAACTACTATTTGGTAGAATTGTTATAAACGTATGTATGGGAGTTGGGTTCCTTACATTTGGGCTCGTTAAAACAAGGCATTGGTTAACGGTAATTTTTTCGGCTTATTCTGGCTTTGAGCTCAGAATTTTCTCTCAGTTCGGGTCTAATTATTCTTCATAAAAATAGATTTGTGAGAGTTTGAGCAATATGATATAGTTCAAGGATTTCTTTAGAAATGTGGTCGTCTGGAAGGTAGCTGAAGTTTACTCATTTAGTATTATTTCTACAAAAAATAAAGAATATTTTAATGAGGGCGCATTTTAGCCGTTAGTGTCGATGTACTTTTCGGTCCACTTGTTTATAATGGTGATATGCCCGATACTTAATATAATCTTACGTCAACTGTTGCCTCGGAGGGTAGATAAGGACGAGAAGGTCGATTAATTTCGCTGAACTTGGATATAGCTGAGCTCTTTTTATGGTTCAGAGTATGTTTATTATTGTTTCTATCTATTAATGATGCAATAAGTCGAACTTGACGTCTTTTTATTTTACATTGGCATCTGAAGAATACGGCATTTTGGAATGAGATTTTATAGGCTGTTTTTTTTAATTGAATCTCGTATTATGACGTTTGCAAGCTGTTCTAAGGATCCTCATTTGAACGAGGTTTTCATTTTTAAAGAATTTTCCATTTTCATAAATTGTTGAACACTTCAACGTTTTCTCTTTGGCTTTAATCTACTTAGTGATTTTGGAAGTGGAGTGTAGAAAAGTGTTCGATTAGTTCCAAAAAAAGAGTCGTCAGAAATATGTCGAACGGTGCAGGATAAGTAGTTGTTGATTGTATAACTGCCTCTGAATTGCTTTTTTGTAAGGCAAGAGTACTAAAAAATACTGTGCAGAGATTGTATAAGAAGTACGTTTTATATGTCATTTATGTCGTCGTTACCTTTTTATAAGTCTGTTGAATAAATTACTGCACAAATTATAAAATTTGTTCTCGTAATTTTTTTCGATTATCACTAGCTTTTTTGAATTTAATCTTTTTTTTCTTTTGATTTCTGTTTTACTTCTGTACTTCTATTTTTGCTTTCTACATTTTATAACTTTTGTAATCTATGTTTTGTAAAGTGAAGTCTCAAATATTTTCTTCTGGGAAATTCAAGTCTCCTTCGTTTGTTCAAAAAGATTCGTTACTGAGACCGTAAACATTCTTATTTTCAAATATCTCTTAGAATCATGCATATTTGCTTTTAGGAGGTAATCTTTTATAAAATTTCTGTAATATAAGACACAGGTACTTTTTTTTGTGTGCAAATGCATCTTTCAGTGAATTAATGTTTTTAGTATGGGTACCCTACAGTATTTTGTGACTGTTTGGTCCACGTGATGTCACTAATTTATTTCTGTAGCGATTATGCCTTTTTGAAACTTTGTTACAAGTTGTTGTGATTCCTTTTTTGTTATTGGATTACACCTCCTGGATGTCACCTGTATTTCTTTCACTTTTTTCTGTCTTTTCCCTTAGAAAAAGAAAAAGTGTTGGTTTTACTATTGCATTTAGGAACAGGTTTTTTGCTGAGAAGGAGTGAATGTTGAATATTTTTATTTTTTTTAATTTAGTTTATCTAAATTAGAATAGAGCTGGCAGATAAGGCTAAGGTTATCTTTTAACATTAAGATTGTTTGCTTGGCGATGTTTGGGCGAAGATACAGCATCACTGGAATAGGTATTACAGTGTGGGCACATCCAAGTGATTTGTGCACATGCACTACTTTGTCGGCAACTGCAACTTTAATAACTTCAAATAACTCGCTGGTTTCTGTTACAAATAGATCTCATCATCCTAAAGTTTGCGGTTTCGCTTTTGAAAATTTGCTGATTAGCGACACTCACCGGTGGCAATGATGGCAGCGTAAGCCGGGGTTTTTCAACAGTGTCGATAGACGGTCCATCATAGAAGCTCGTGCTCGAATTGAAAGACATTCATCTGTAAGTAACAAACAAGTCTAAGTCATACATCCAAAAAAAAAAAA